TTCTATCACAAGGAAGATCACAGAGCAAGTTCTTTTGGAGGTTATGTGAACAGGAAGGAGAAGATGGTGAGTGTGAATTAGCATAGATTTAGGGTATATTGTGTTTGACCAACCTGACTGCCTTCTGTGATAAAATGACTAGGTTTCTTGTTAATGGTTCACACTCTACCTTGATACTAGTTACAGCTGGAGCTCCTCAGGGGTCTGTCCTAGGATGTGTCCTGTTAAATGCCTTTGTCAATGATCTGGAGGAGGAGATGGAGTGCACTGTCTTCAAATCTGCAGATGACACTAAAGTAGGGGGTGCAGTTGATATGCTTGAGGGCAGAGCTGCCATACAAATGGACGTAGACAGGATGGAGGAATGGACTGACAGGAACCTTATGAAATTCAGCCAGGAGAAATGTGAAGTCCTGCACCTGTGATGGACTTAATCAACTGCTATTGTTCAAGCTGGGGCCTAACTAGCTGGGGAACAGCTCTGCTGGAAAGGACCTGGGGTGCTGGTGAACAGCAATCTGTGCATGCACCAGTACAGCAACATGATAGCAATGAAGGCCAACCGTACCCGGGGCTGTATCACTGGTAGTGTAGGCAGTAGAGCAAGGGAACTGATTATTCTGCTTTTAGTTGGCACTCATTAGACCATATCTGGAATACCACATCCAGCTTTGAGACCCTCATTAAAGGAAAGATTTTAATAAACTTCAGTAAACCTAATGGGGAGCCACCAAGATAGGAGCACATGCCTTGTGGCTGAGAGAAGTGGATTTGTTCAGCCTGGAGAAGGCTTTGGAGCGTGCCTAACCTAAAATCTACAAGGAGTTTATCAAAGCTCTTTATTAAGATGCCCGATGGCAGACTGAGAAACAGGAGTCATAAATTGAAGCAGAGGAGGTTCTGACTGGATATAGGGGAGAAAAGAAACATGATGATGAAAATTATTAAACTGAGAGAGGTTGTGCAGTTTCCATCCTTGGAAGTTTTCAAGATCAGACTTGTATGAATCCTTGAGTGAGCTGACCATGCTTTGAGTAGGAGGTTGAACTAAAGACATCCTGACTCGCCTTCCAGCCTGGATGATGCTGTGGTTCTGTAGACTTACACATGTTAATGCACATAATACTTTTATGCAGTAACTTCGGACCTTAAATTCACGTTTTAACTTTCCTAAACATTTCCCAATAGCCAAGTGTTAAGGATTATTCTGAGAAAACAGTCTGATGCTTTGCAGTAAAAAAGCTTTTATTATTTCATTTTCAGTAAGCTGACAATACACAAAGCATGATGCTGGGATAAGTGCCATTTTCAAATCTGTTGCCCTCCAGGAAAGTTATCTAGGCCTTCCTAGATAGGCCTTCCTATCAATTAGATATATAGCTGTGAAGTCGTGATAATACTATCAACTTATGTTAGAAAATTAGAAGGCAATTCAGGAGAACCGGAGATTCCTCTTTCAGACAGTTTTTGTTGCTTAACAAAGAAAATCAGTGTTGTAGCCTAGATAATAAAAACATTTGATTAGAAGCCTGCATTTCAAAGGTACTAAGCTCCTGCAGTTCCCATCGATTTCAGTGGAACTGGATCTGCTGCCTAACTCTGAAAATAAAACAGAAATATCTAAATTGTTGCTTGCACACATGAATATCTAAAGCTAGGTATCTAACTTCATCTAAAGTACTTAACTCTGCCTAAAGAGATACTCTTATTTTTCTTATGGAGTAACCTGGTATTCCACGCACAGCAGATAGTAAAGCAAGTGAGACTAGAAAGTATTTAGAATCTCTTAAATTTATATAATTTTTATTTACCATCTACCAGACGTGTTCAGTTTCTGTGAAATAGACATACATGGAGATTTAGAGACATGGACTATGTGCTGCAGCACTAGAGATTTTTGTCCACATTTGTAGTACTGTCAGCAAGAGGATCTTGACTGGAATATTGATCTTGTAAACTGCAGTCCATTGAACTATTTTTGTAAAAAGTACCTGGGAATAATTCTTACTTGCTATCAAAATGTCTTTTCCATCTTTTGAGTCACCATAAGGCATTTTAAAAGATCTCATTTTACAAATAACTATTTCTTTTTAAATTGTGGTCTTGGCTATGCAAATTTTGCAATTTGTTGAGTCTCTGTAATATTTTGAAAGTTTTTCAGTACTGGTTGGCAGCAGTTTGTTGGACTTTAGGAAGTAAGTAAATGTCTTAGCCAGACCTGAAGATACGATTTGTTGGTTTTGTTTTTATTTAAATATGGGTCATTTGCCATATGATCCACCGAAACTTTTCCTTTCTGTATAATCCTGAAATTCTAAATTCTTAAACTATCTTTTATCATGACATTGTTTAAGTTAATGCAAAACTGTTAAAGGCTTTTCATCCTCTGAAACTGTGCTTAGGTCTGCATATGCAAGGTTAATCTTTCTCTAGTTACAGGCAAAAATATTGTAACAGAAGCAGTGGAACTTGCCCCACTGTAAAAATTCATGTTTGTTTTACTTGAATAGGATTTAAATTTTAGCACACAAAAGAGATTCTGAGGTAATAGTAATTGTTCATATTCGCCTGCCTTGTTTTATATGCCTGATTTTTGTTTGTTTTTTATTTGACAGTGGTACTATTAAGTACTACTTTGCCTTTTTATTTTATTGATGTCCAAACAGAGGAGGAATATACTTGAATCCAACCAGTTCAGTTTTTCAGCTTTATTCTGCCTAAGCAGGATTCATCAGGGCAGCAAGATGGTTGTTGCTGAAGAGCTCTCCACATCCAGCACTGCAGAGTGTAACTGATGCTCACCAAATCATGGGAAAGTCCCTGTCTGAGTTCAGATCCAGCCTTCAGGCAAAAGAGGCAGAACTGTGAATTTCGGTAAAGCCACGTTCAGATATACCAGGCTGAGATCAGTCCTTTAGTTCAGCTCATCGGTCAGGGCACTGTAAATGAGGGTGCGAAAGGCATCACACACTTTACATGGAACATAGCACTCAGTCTGCCCGCCTGCTAATCTTAAGACTCAGACTCTTGTCCACGACCTTAAGAAATTATCAACGTTGCTGGTCATACCTGAAAAGCTGTTGTAGTTTAAACCACCATTTCTTCAGCAAAATTTCTAAGAGCCAGAAAAGGCCATAGAAGTTGCGATGCCAAATGTTGTAGCTTGTGACCGGGTGCCTGCCATGCAATGGAAATCAAGTTCTGAGCTAAGGGCTACTGAAATGAGTGGGGAGAATTAGGCACTTCTCAGGAGCGCTCAGTGTGCAACTGCCTGGTAGCCCACAGGGACCCGAGGTGAGCAGGAGCAACCCATCCTCCTTATTAAACATACCTTTCTAATATTTCCATTTCCAAGGCTGGATCATCTCTTTCTCACAGAAAAGTCAGAGAACGCGTGCTGTTGTTACAGTGACGGGAAAACTTGCTTGGCACTCCACGTTTTCAGATATTTCTGTGTTTTAACCAACATCCTACCGGCAGTTTTAAGGGACTATCTCTCTGTTTTCTTGATATTGTCCTGCTTTGTTTAAATATCTCTGGAAGCAGATGAAATAGCTTCTGTCGTATGCCAAAGTCACTGGCTTGTAGGCACTGCTCTGGGATAAGGGAGATGCAGATTTAAGTTCAAGCACCAAATTAAGCGGAATGGGGATTTGAACTTGAGAGGAGATTGGTGCACAAGCGCTCACAGATACCCCCTCTTCTTCTTTGACTCAGTTTCAGAAGTCCAAAGCATTTTCTCGGGTTCTAGTGAAAAGGGAAGACGGCTGCTTTGTCTGGGTGGGTTTAGACATCAGCTACAGGGTCCCAACAACATGGCTATACCAGGACTGAGGCAGGGGTGTCTATGCTGGTAGTCAGTGTTGTTTTTTTCACACTGAGTTGAGGAGATGATACTCGATGTGTGTTCGTGTTACAATTTGTAGTGGGTGGAATAGCCATCTGATCATTTGCAATTTCTTTTGCATTTTCCTATAGCAATGTTCTTCCAAATTTTGGTCATAAAAGCCTATACCTAAAAGCCTATATCTAAAAACCAGTATATTTTTAAACAGCAGATCTGATCACTCATTAAGTCTTACATGTTAAAATTTAATTCAGGAAATCCTAATAAAAGTAGAATTAGGTAGTTTTTGGTAAAAGGTAGCCATGTAAATGATCTAAAAATCCATGATCAGAAAATCTGCAGACTATATTTTCATAAAAAGTAATTACAGTCTGCATTAATTTTTGAACTGCAGGTTGGGTGTGCAAGATGAAAATTAGTGAGTGAGAATACCTAGTATTGTAAGCAGAGGGAGGGGGTTAATTGCTGTTACTAATGAATACTTTGATACTTCCCGAACTTTAGCTTTGTTTCATGCTGTAATGTAAAAAGTTATCTATCTGATCTGTAAAGTGATAGTTTTAATCAGACTCAGTCATACAGACAATATTTTGGCCTCAGAAGTCCTTCCTGAACTCATGAATGAACTTATTCTTTAAGGAGGTATTATGCTGATATAAGAAAAATGGGAGAAGCGTGTTGGAACGTTGCAGATTGCAAGGCGAGGTAGAAACAAGTACAAAACATTAGGGAGGGAGAAATGCAAAAAATTGGACTATTTCAGTTAAAGAAAAAAAAAAGAGGAAACAAAGTAACACAAACAGAACACACACAAAAAAAGAAATAAAAACGTAGTTTTAAAGAAATCTGTTCCTCAATGTAAAGGTTTAGTTGAGTCAATCTCATATGTTCCACTGCAATAATGCCCCTTGGTGATGAGTTTATGAGTTTTGGGGGGAATATAGTATCTAATTATGTATTCCTTTTATGTAGGATACTGAGACCTATGCTTTTGTAATCACACACACACCAAATGAGCATAGAGTAGGAAGTCAGATGCTAGCTAGTGAACTGATGAAATCAAATTGGAGGGGAATGATCCAGGGGGATGAAAAGCTCATGCTGCCACAAGATTAAAGCTGTGGATATCTCTCCCTTGATGGTGTTCACACAGGAATCAAGGGAAATGTGTAGAGGGCATGGTGGAAATCTTTGACATGCTGCTGGCTACGGCTGCTCGGTTTCGCATGATGAACCTTCAAGGGGAGGAATTTGTGTGCCTTAAGTCCATCATCCTGCTCAATTCTGGTAAGTGGTGTGCTTTGCTGTCTCTCGGGTAATTGTGGTTGCTTCTGCAGGTGGTTGAAGGCCGCTAGTTTTCACCAACAGCATTTTCATTTTGAGGCAGTAGCCATCAAGAGGGGCTGTCAACATAGGTGCAGGCAGAGCCACCAGGCAGGGATGGAAGTGGGTGAACCTGTTCAGTGCCGTAGATGGGACCCAGCAAATTAAAGCAGTAAGTAGCTGATACACTGCATACAGCTGATGGGAAGGGCGACGGGAGCCGTGTTTTGAACTAGGTGCTGACAGGTCTTCGAGTTCTGATTACAAGACACTGAATTAGCTGGAGCCACACGTAGGGCATCTGAAGGCAATGTTTAGTTGTAAATCTACACGTTTCTTTCTTGGTGGTGGAAAATAAAGGGAAATAATGGCAAAAATATAGCTGAGTTTATCATAGTTTAGATTATACTTAAATACAGGCATCTAAAACTGATGTCATCACCTTCCACTTCCTTGTTAGCTGATGAAACAAGTATTTTTGGGCTGTAAATCTCATTCTGAAGTATCCTTCAAAAATAGGTGACTAGCTAACAAGTGTAGGAATAGATATAAATACATAAAATCAGTTGACTTGAATGCTGTATGAGATGATTGAAATAAGCAAATTCAAGTTAAGGCATGGGACAGAAAATTTCTTTTGCACACCACAGGATCCTTTTCCATTTGAAATGAGAAAAAACTCCAGTGTTCTCATGGAAATTATAGAGGTCTAAAATAATAATGTAGGCACCAAAGTAAAAATTTTAGATTAAATTCAATGTTAAGTTGTTACCTAATGATTAAAGATTCCAGAGTGCCCAACCCTGAGGATTTACCCACTTGTTCTCCCCTTTTCCTGGTAGGTTTGAACTTGTAGATGGTATCAGCATCTAGACAAAAGAGAAGTGGAGGGCTGTATGACCTTTTCATCCTGTAGTCTAAGAGATCACTTGCCCAAGTTTCATGAAATACAAATTCAGGTAATTCTGACCAAAAGCTAACTCTAAGCAAAGCAGACTTTATTTTCTTGATCAGGCACTCCTTCCTTTACCAAAACTTGGACCTGGTCTACTAAAAAAAAAAACAAACAAGCAAAATTATATATTTATGCAATCAACTATAGAATATAAATATTTCATTTATGTTCTATGACATATTACTGTGGTTCAGGTTTTGTTGTGATTGGCACCAATTACCAAAAGCTGAAATCTGAGGCAAGCACTTGGCATATGAGGAATGAAGGGCTATTGTTTTTGTCTTGGATGCCAGGGTGTGACAATTGCAATTACTGTTTGACATTTTATTTTTCTTTCATTGTCCCGATAATTATAACAGAATATTCCCCAGAGTTAAATGTCCTTCCTGAAAAGGGATGCTCCTTCAGATTTTTGGCTAATATGTTCAAATATAATTATCTTCTTAAATAAATCTAGAACATGCAATTGATTTATAGAAATATTGAATTAGAAAAAAAAATAGAATCATAGAATTATAGATCATTTATGTTGGAAAAGACCTTTAAGATCGTCATCAAGTCCAACTGTTAACCTAGCACTGTCAAGTCCACCACTTAACCATGTCCCTAAGCACCACATCTGCATCTCTTTTAAACACGTCCAGTGATGGTGACTCAATCACCTCCCTGGGCAGCCTGTTCCAATGCTTGACAACCCTCTCAGTGAAGAAATTTTTCCTAATATCCAATCTAAATCCAATGAGGCCATTTCCTTTTGACCTATCGCTTGCTACTTGGGAGAAGAGACCAACACCCACCTTGCTACAACCTCCTTTGAGGTAACTGTAGAGAGCAATAAGGTCCCGCTGAGCCTCCTTTTCTTCAGGCTAAACAATCCCAGTTCCCTCAGCTGCTCTGCATAAGACTTGTGCGCTAGACTCTTCACCAGCTTCGTTGCCCTTCTTTGGACACACTCCAGCAGTTCAATGTCTTTCTTGTAGTGAGGGGCCCAAAACTGAACGCAGGATTCAAGGTGCGGCCTCACCAGTGCCGAGTACAGGGGCACGATCACTTCCCTACTCCTGCTGGCCGCACTATTTCTGATATAAGCCAGGATGCTGCTGGTCTTCTTGGCCACCTGGGCACACTGCCGGCTCATATTCAGGCAGCTGTAGACCAACACTCCCAGGTCCCTTTCCACTGGGCAGCTCTCCAACCACTCTTCCCCAAGCCTGTAGCGTTGCATGGGGTTGTTGTGACCCAAGTGTGGGACCTGGCACTTAACCTTGTTGAACCTCGTACAGTTGGCCTTGGCCCATTGATCCAGCCTGTCCAGATCCCTCTGTAGAGCCCTCCTACCCTCCAGCAGATCAACACTCCCACCCAACTTGGTGTTGTCTGCAAATTGAGGGTGCACGCAATCCCCTCGTCCAGATCGTTGATAGAGATATTAAACAGGACTGGCCCCGGTACTGAGCCCTGGGGAGTATCGTTTGTGACTGGCCGCCAACTGGATTTGGCTCCATTCACCACAACTCTTTGGGCCCGGCCATCCAGCCAGTTTTGTACCCAGTGAAGAGTACACCTGTAATAGAATTGGAAATTTGAATACAACACGTTAGATGTTCATGTCTTGAATGAAGACTTCAAGCCACGCTGTTGAGAGTTTTTGTCCCACTACTGTATATAATATTGATCCAGAAAACTAAATTTGTTATTTAGGCAAAGCCCTGCCAGACATCACCAGCACATCTCAACTTGTTAAGGGGATTTTTTGTTTCAAGATTTCCCTAAGGAAAAATTGTAAAAAAAAAACCAAAAAACAAGTGAAGTCAGTGATAATCAGAGGTGAATTTCCTTCTGCACATAAGAGACATTGGACCATTGAGTCAGGCTAGGAGATCTTCATTCCTTCAAGGTTCATATTCAGCAGCTTCAAATCAGTGGGGGTCTGTGTGGTAGAAGGTCAGAGTTGATCGGATGATCTGATGAGTGATCTGATTTTGGGTGTGGGGTTGTTTTTTACATCAAATGAAAGTTTATAACTACTCAGAAGTCTGGTATTTTTACAAGAGTCTTGACAGTGATAGATCAGAGGGCATGGTTCAGGTTGAGCTGTTACAGATTCATGATGAAAGCAATCTATACCATTGTTATGCACAACATCGTGTGTTGCTCTGGCTTGCATACTGCACTTGTTGCAGTATACCTGAGTATGCCGTGAACTGAATGTGTACGTACGCGTGGCCACACAATGTATGTCTGTATTGCTTGTAATTGCCTTTATGCATAAAGGTAATTAATTTTACACTTCAGTGTTTGCATTCCTATAACCAACTAATTTTATAACTGTCTGAGGGGTTAACTACTAGGTGGTGGGAATGTGGACACGAGTTTCTGACTGTCAGATCCTTTAGATGCCCAAATGAGGAGGTTAAACCGCTTTACAGAGATGAGTAGCATAATTTGGAGTATGTGTAACAGTTGTGTAAGTGTTGTTTGGCATAGATACTCTAACATGTCTTCTGGAGATGCTGTATTCTTCCCAGAATATAGCCAGCCTCCTTAGGTAAAGTGTTGGACACACGTGAAATATTATGTGCTTTGAAGCAGAGTGTACATGACGTATGAGGAGAAACTGAGAGCGCTGCGTTTGTTCATGCTGGAAAAGGGAGGGCTTAGGGGAGGTCTAACCGCAGTGCTCAGACAGCTGAGGAACAGGTTATGGAGAAGCCAGGGCCAGACTCTTCTCGGAGGTGCAAGAGGAAAGGACAAGCTGCAATGGTGACAACACAGCAAGGGAGATCCTGATGAGATCAACAGAATAGAATATCTTCCCGGTGAGAGGTTAAGCACTGGAACAGGTTGGCCAGAAAGGTGGTAGCATCTCCACCCTTGGAGATACTCTAAACTCAGCTGGACAAAGCTCTGCGCAGCTTGACCTGACCCTGAAGTTACCGCTATTTGAGCAGGAGGTTGAACTAGATGACCTCCAAGCCTCCCTTAACCTGATTTTTTTCTATGATTGCACATGTAAATACACACAAATCTTCTACTAAAGGAACAGCAGATAAACACAGAATGAATTTTTGGCCCTTATGCTATCTGTTATATATGCATATGATTAAACCAGTTGATCTCAAAATGATTTAAGGAAGTGGACTACTTGAACAAATTGAACTAGTTATGGTGCATTTCATATTTAAAAGCAGTCTGTATTTGCTTTCTACAGCTTTGTGTGGATTCACTGAGTGTACACAAACATTTCTGTATTAGAACCTTGGACATCTGTTAGTCTCTTCACATGAAGTAGTGCTTTTGTTGGACATTTATTTTCTCTTTTTTTTGCAGCATCTTTCAAGGATGTTACACTCCTTTTCCATGTGTCTTGGGCAAAATGCAAGCAAATTTTTTAAATTTCACTCAGTGCATGTGGAAAAGATGGAAGTTTCTATTTATAAAGCAAAGTATGCATTTATGCTTTTTCCAAATATTTCCTGAGATATCAAGGCGACAGCATGGCTGTAACAACAAGGACAACATTGCCTCCAGCTAAATAACAAACCAGAAGGTACCCCTCTAATGCTGCGGCAATAAATCTTTCAACTAAAAGGCAAAATTGTATTTTCAAAGCAGCACATTCATCTCAATAATAAAGCGCTGTTTCTTAACACTGGAAAATAAATATTAGAAACATGAAAGGGCAACATGATGCCAAATGTTTTACTTTTGAGTGTATATGAAAAGAGGAGTGGTATTATGTGGCAAAGGAACAGGCTTCATTTTTGAGACTAAGATGTAGGTCACACTGGCCTTAGCAGCTGATTTACCTAATTAGATAACTGATTAGTCCACAGAGATGGAAAGATTTACCTGATTTTATGCATCCTGTAGCCCTCCTGACACATCATCGCATGTGACTGTTTGCTTTTCTTTCTCCTGTTTTTTCCAGCTCCTGTAAAATTATGCATTTCATTTATTTCTTCATTTTGGGGGCTGGATGATTACATGAGTGATCATGATTACCCTGGTACAGAGCTGAATTTGTTCATAGCTCAGCCTGGCTTGCTACAGATACAGAGTAATGGGGCTCAGTGGAAGGGGAAGAAGAGCCCTGGGTATTGTTTTGTGACCCTGAACTCCAAATGTAAAGATGCTTAAACTGGGGTTTATTGTGACAGAAAAGATGTACAGGGTGTTCTCCCCTACAGTAATATGGAAATATTATTTGCACTCTATATAGTGAGACATTATTAATATCACTACATGCTAACAGATGGTAGCACTGCAGTGCCCGAGGGACCTTGTTCGGTGCATGGCTTTGTGTTTTGGGCACAGACTGGTAGACTTTTTATTTGTTTGCAGGGTGGTACTTTCTCTGTTCTTGCTCCTATTATGTTTTACAATACTGACCTACAGAAAAAGCTGGAAAACAACCTGGTAGCTATTCAATTCAGGCTTGCTTTCAGCTTCAGAGCTCAGAAAGACCTTTGGGACTGTTAAATTTCAATTTGCCAAGACAATTTTCGTCACTCTTGTTCCAAAACTCTGCTTCTGTACGTATGTATGTGATGGATAGCTGTCATTTACTTTGGGGAAATTTCTGGTCATTGGTCTGGGGCAGGAGCAGTCACCGGAGGGGCAGAAAGGAAAACCAAATGTAATTTTTCTTGGCACTTATTGACTAGCAATTGCCTGAACTCTCTACATTTTTGGGGGAGTGCTTTTTTTGATTTATACTTTTTAATAGCTTCTGGGCTAGACCTAGGTAAGCAACAGTTCCTACCAACAGATTTTTTTTCTTTTGCTGGTTCCAAAGCTATGAAACTAAGAAGTATTGCTACAAGGGCACCACAGCATCCTCTGGCTGAAGTGAGCTGCTCCGGAGACACCATGGGTTTATGAGACTAATGGTTCCTACTAATGGACTGTGTTTTGTCAGTAATATTTAAGAATCTTGCCCCTACACGTACCTGCCAAGCTATAAAGCCTGGTATTGTCAGTAGGCATGTGTGTCATTCAGCTGAGAAAAGCCCCAGCAGCGGTTTCTCTTTGGTAAACTAATTTCAGTAAAAAAATTTAGAAAAAAGCTTTGTGAGAAAAGAGGCCATTGTACTACCTATCTATATCAAATTCAAAGCAATATTAATTACCAAAATTAAGAGCTCTGACTAATGGTTGTCAGAAGTTGTGCTGTGTTTGAGTTATTGTTTTGGTTTTTAAAGCAGTTTCTCTCTCTCACTCACTCTTTCTCTCAGAGACACACTGATATTTACAAACACAAATTTATATTTATTTTTAGTACAGAAGACCCAAAGTCATAAAATCTACTTGCAGGTTACAGTAGTTCTAGGTGTCAGGTCCTTGAAGTACCAAGATGATGTGAGGAGGTGAAGTATGTCAAGAAGATGGTAAAAAAATCTCAATTTCCCCGACTGCTCAGATAAACAGTAAAATATTCTTATCTTTAAATCTGATAGTATAGACCCCAGGCTACAAACAAGCTACAGTATGTATGTCTCTGTGTGTGTGTGTGCGCGCGTCTTTTTTTCTTAATATCACCAACTGCATTGCATACTGTGCTATATATAACACTTTAAAGAAAAGCAAAATGAAAAGTAATTCCAGAACCCAAATTTTTCCAAGGACAAAATCCAGATTTCTTCTTGGCTCTGTAAGATGATGCAGAAGGGCTAAAGCACAGGATTTGTCATGTACATTGTAGACGGAGGGCAATGAACACACTATGGTCAAGCCAGTTTGATTGTGTTAGCATACACATGTCTTAAGCTTTTGCTGCCTCAGGACTGGATTAGAGTAATATGACCTGCTTAGAGTTACTGGCTCAATCTGATGATTAAAAAACTGGTGCCGAATGCAACAGCTGCCTTTTGGCAGCTACAGTGCTGTTGCAACCTGATTCACATTGGCTGTGTGCTGTTGTCCTGAACAAATTCAGGATAAAAAAGTGCAGAATAGTTCAGAATTTCCCATGTAGAAAGGTGATGTGCTTCACACACCCAAGAATTGCTACTGGCAAAAGCTCTTATGCCTGGGTTAGAGTGGTTTATAGGGCATGTAGAGGGGCTGTTGTGGGGGAGTTTGAAGGTATTTTGATCTCTGGAAACATTTCCTCCTGATCCAAACCTTCAGGCTGCTTCGCTTTCAGCAGTAAGCAGTGTAAGATGGATAAATTTACACAGGTTGCTTTGGACGTGGTTTTTAGAGGAGACTCTGGTTTGCAGGTGAAGGAGCACGCCTGTCAAGGCTCTCGCTTGGTTGGGAGGGTTTTGTTGAAGCGAGTGTGTGTAAACAACCCCTGGGTTTGTGTACATGTTTTGTGGTAACATATTATTCAGTTCTAGATTGACTAGCAAATTGCCGGAAATCAAACAAACAGCAGAGAAAATGGCAAAACCTGCCCAAGGCCTGGGCTGGTCAGTAAGTACTGCAGAGCTTTCAAGTGGCAACAACATCTCCTCAAGGTTGTGGAGCTGAATGACCAAGAGAAGACTGCAGCCCATGGTTAGGTCTAGCTGCAGGGTGTAGGTGTCCTCTGCCACCTGGCCCGGACCTTGGATGGACCCGGGAAGCGAACAGGCACTGTCTTCCTCCTCCTGCTTTGCCCACAGTGACCAAATCCAAGCTCCAGGATTATTCAGACCAGTGACCTGGCTGGCAAGCAGGAGGGTTTGCACAGTCGCCTCCCATGGTTTAACACAGCCGAAGAGGCCAGCCACGAGGCGTACCTTGGGCAAGTCTGACTCTATCAAAGTAATTTTTGTCTGTGGTTTGTTTTCTTTCTCCTTCCTACTCCAGGTGTGTACACTTTTCTTTCCAGCACCTTGAAATCTCTGGAAGAGAGAGACTATATTCACCGTGTTCTGGACAAAATCACAGACACTCTGATACACTTAATGGCTAAGTCGGGTCTTTCTCTGCAGCAGCAACACAGACGATTGGCTCAGCTCCTCCTCATCCTCTCTCACATCAGACACATGAGGTGAGAGCAAGCATGGGGTCAGCCCTCCTACACTGGTCCCACGCAAGGGAGGCTTCACAAGGCATACACACATTTTTCCTTCACAGCTGGGAGTGCAAACTGTGTGTAAGAGCCATTAAAAAAAAAAAAAAAAGTCTACTTTCCCTAAAGATGTATGGAACGTGTGCAAAACAGTACGTTGGATTATGGTGTGAAAGAAGTAAATGTTTTCCCCATTTGTTTCTTCTAGTTTTCTTTTCCTTTAGTTCTTGTTTTGATAGTGCCATAAGCGGTATCTACTGTAAATGTTGTGTGCATCCCGTATTCTGTTTGAAAAGTACCAAGCAGAATAGTAATGTAGCAGTAGCCTAGTTCTGTAAACTTTAGTCTCCTATAAGATAAGATTTAATAAAACTATCATTTTTATCTAGCCACTTTTCACAAGTGGCTTGATTGCAAATCACTTCAGAAAAGAGATTAGTATCATTATGTGTATTACACGGGTGAGGATAAATGCAGATCTACTGAATCCCAATCTAGAGGACTCTACCCTTTGCTAATTAGAGGTGTCTGAGGCACTCAGTTAGTAGTCGCATCAATGATTCTCCCAAACATAATTACCTCCTAAGGTAGCTGCTCAGTGGCTGGAGTCTCAACAACATGAAAAGTCTAAACAAAGATACAGTATAGATTTTATTTTTATGAAAGGACAAGAAATATTGTTACACAGATTTTGATTTGTGTTATTTCAGTTAATAAAATGAAAATTAGAGTAAGCACAATATCATAGCTACTAAAACTGAAAAATGCAGATTTTACCTCCTGGGATTATATACAAGTCTTCAGGAAAAAGTCAAGGGGTGTGTGCATGTGGCTTTTTTACTTGTGTCTTTCTGTGGAGTTTCTTTGTCTTCATGTTAATCATCTTTTTTTTTTCTTTCCCTTAAGAAGAATTTGTACAATTAAGGAAGTTCCAGATGCACACTGAAGTTAATTATTGTATCCAAGTTTTGTGAATGGATACTATTACAAGTGAGCATTTGCTAACAAATTGTCTGATGTTATTTTCTAGAGAAAAAATCTGGTATTTTAAGTTTTATTATGGGAAAGCCAACATTCATCCCGTCCACTTAGTCAGAGTGCCTGGATTAGGAGTCCATGTGCTCTAGGCTACCTTTCAGGTGCAGGAAAGCAAAATAGCCATCTTTGGAAGGCAACTTGCTCATGGGCAGTCTGAAATGTTCTTTGAAGTTGCCTTCTTCTGCTAACCGTAGCAGGAGCATACAGCAATGGCACTAAGTTAGTTGTTTTGTACAATGTGGAATTTATATGAACCTAACAAATATTATTAGCTGCTGATAGTTTTTTTTCCCCCCCATCGCATATTTGGAAAGTAACTATTGTTTCATTACAACCCACAGCAACAAAGGAATGGAGCACCTGTACAACATGAAGTGTAAAAACGTAGTTCCACTCTATGATCTCTTGCTGGAGATGCTGGACGCTCATCGACTGCATGCCCCGGCAGCCAGGAGTGCTGCACCGATGGAAGAGGAGAACCGGAGCCAGCTGACAACTGCATCAGCTTCATCTCATTCCTTGCAGTCTTTTTATATAAACAGCAAAGAAGAGGAGAATATGCAGAATACGATATAAACAGAAGTCAGCAAGAATAATGGAATGAGAAACCCAGCAGCGTACTACCTAGCTCCTGCTTCACTTCGTCTATAGTGCCACCTATGTAAACACTCCAATGACAACAGTCACTTGCATTTTCCATTTGAGTGTTTGTCAAGCGCTTGCCTAAATTGATTGCTTATCTTGAACGGAAGACATTTCATTGTCCATTGGCTATGGACAGCCAGCAAGGATTGTCAGGCTAACTTGATTTAAAATTTGCAATGTTTTTATTTAATTTTCAATGTAAGTGGGGTAAGTCCTAATCTGAACGGAACATTCATTTTACTATAAATTAATAGGCCATACCACCCATGCTTATTAGTATCTTCATGAGTTGTAGCCTTTGTTGATAACCACCGCAAATTCTGAGCTCGCTTAATCCTTTAGTTGCTTGAAACTTTGAAGCAGTTTGGTAGAGATTCGGGATAACTTTTTGGGGGCGGGGTAAATGGAAAGTTGATTGGCGTGTTAGTATTCCATAATGAAACTGCACTGCTAATGACTGCCTTGGTAGTTTAGGTAGATCCGGCCTCTCTCCTTCCTACAGTAGAAAGGAACCCCTGTCTGAGAATAATACTGTTTTACCTTGCTGGCTTACATCAGCAAACAACTCTCTCTCAAGATCATACCGACCAAACTTTTAGGTCCCCTTACCATACCCTCCAGCTGAATTGCATTGTGTGCATTCTATCTGGTCTGATCCTACAAAGCTAAATTTTTCTGTTGCTTGGTAGTGTGTAAATCAAGGGCAACATGGCAAACAATGATAACATAGATAATTACTCTTAAATCAGACCAGGTGATGACAAAAATCATTGTGTCTTAAAAAAAGTCTTCACACATATACATGATCCAGCACTACTTTATAAAAGCCTGTCCTTTGCTTTGTTGTGCTACAAACCAAGGGGTGAGGATGCCAGTGAAGACTGGCACAGCAGGGTGGGATGGTCCCATCCCACTCAAGAGTGTGGCCTAGCCATGTATGGGAGGGCTGGCATCACAGCCAGAGCAGTAGGCTTTATGTTGCCTTGGCTTTCTTTGGCTCTCGCTGGGGCATGCTCAGAAATCACTGTTAAGAGCCAGCTCACTTGTGACACTAGAACTGGGCAATGAGCCTCAGACGTGGTCAAGACTCTGGGACTGCATGTCCAGGAAGATAAATCTGGCTTTCTCCATACACGTGTGTAACTGTTTCTCATAAGGATTAGCCAGATTCTTCAGACCAACTGTAAATATACAAAAGGTCCACTGACATCAACAGTTTCAGCAAGACATGAAGGACAGAGGCTGAAGAAATCCATACTATATGATATTCAAAGTAGGAGTCGGTGCTGCTGTTTGACTGCCTCTATGCTAGAAAATTAAATGTGTCAGGGAACGTTGCTGGGTACTGGAATGCGATTATTACATATGCCAGGGATATCTTACTTGCCTAATGATAAACTTTGCCTGTGCTATCTGCACTTCTGGTTTACAGGTGCAGCTTGGGAGATAGCACAGACCAGGGACTATTCCAATAGCTGGTTGGAAGCGACCACCCTGCCAGTACGGATGTTTCATAGCACATGTGCAGGCTGCTCCACAGCAACTGGCCACAGTGTTAGAGAAAAGTTCAGGGATGCTTCTTTTACTGCTATAGTTGAAACCTTTCGTTAGATTTTGCTGATTGGAATATCCTGTAGTAACTCAATATAGGAAATAGTTCAACTAATGCCATAGAGGAGTGCCTATGTCTAATTATGCTCCCTGTTACACAAGCAGCGTCTGTGTGCAGTGAGATTGAGTTACATAGCAATTGTAAGGCAGCAAGGCATAGGACGAGTTTGTGCTCCAAGTCAAGGGATCGATTCTTTAGTGAATGTACATAATGATGTCTGTAACAGTTTCATGTACATATCTGGGGATAGGCGCAGTTTAAAAGTCTAAAGCTAGATGCTACCTACGTTTGAAAAGATTCCTCCAAAACTGTGCAAGCCTAAACATGTGAAGCAGTCACTGTAAGTTAATAGGCCTTTTATTGATGCATATTATAGTGTCATTTTTTTCTGAATGTGCTGAAGGATTTGTCTTTTTGTGTATTCAGTAAGAGAGAGTGTGTGTGTGTGTGTGTGTGCACGTGTGTGTGTGCAAATTTGGTACCTAAGGACTTTTGGAGGGCTCCTAAATGCCTTGAAAGAAAATGCACATTTTGTTTTGTTTAGTAGTTGGTTTTCAAATGTGTTAGAAAAATCATGAATGTCCTGGAATGAGTGCAGGCTAAGATCTGAATGGAGCACAGGAACCCATGCAGTTGCACTTGCGTGCTTACACCATCATCATTCTCTCGTAGCCCAGTGTGCGTTAGAGCTGCTTTTTAAATACTGTACGTGCAACTTGATATTCTCTACGACAGAACACACAGATCAAGCTCATAAGCTGCGAGGCAAATTGTTTAAATGAATGCCTCCCTTCCTACATCCCAGAACAGCTCATCACATCAATTCAAGTGTAAATTTGGCATAGAGGAGAAAAAAGTAGTTCACAGCAATTCACAACAGGGGTCAGATTCTGATGATACTTTCATAGGGCAAGTACCACTACACTCTACAGATTTTCCCAGTGAAGCAGCATAAGTGTGATTTGATGTGGCATGCAGCAGGTATCATAATGTGTTTTGGAACATAAGGAATAATCAGTCAGCTCACAATCTCAATTATGAATGCTTTCCTATGCTCAGCCCTTGCAAGGAAGTAATTTAGGTTCAACCAGTCCTCCCATGTTTGTGGTGACAACAGTGAAGAGCACCCAAGACAGACAAACAGTGATTCCCAGTAATACACTCATTTACCTTGGGGCAGTTTCAGGATCTGTGTCATTAACTTGCTCATGAGATTTTAATTGAAGCAGCACCTTAATGAATATAGTAACCTTCCCATAGTTATTTATAAAGACTATTGCCCACATATCAGACAGCTGAATGTAGCTATTCAATTGATTAAACAAAGTCTATAATAGAAAAATGGCAACTTTTTTCATATGTAATTCTGAATTATGCTCTCATGTATGCAAACAATTGTGCCTGATATTTGGTAATTGTTATTTCACAGGATGCTATTTTATGTGTGTGTGTGTGTATATATATATATACATATATACTTTATATTTGCAGCTGACAAACCAGTACTACCTGAATACCTGGTGCTGGATGGTAAATAAGAATATATAGCAGGTAAAAAAAAAAAAAAAAAAGAAAGAAAACCATTCAAGGCAGCTAATTATGCTTTTACCAAAACATTCATAGTGATGTCTCTGGACAGCTAATGAAAGAATTATTTTATAATGTTTATACATGGATTTTTTTAAAAAAGAAACCATCAAAAACCCAAAAAAACCCCTAGAAACATAGGCAATGTAATACCAGCACAAGCCAAACCGAAATAGACCAGTTGAACATGCTTTGCTTGAGAATATGGTTGTTATTGAATTATTACAAAAAGCTTGGAAGGCAGGAGAGGAGGTAGATAGGGTGATGTGTAGCATTTAGTGGTGTCTGAGTTTCCAACTATATGTTAAAGCTACTCTGGTTTGTAGTAGTTCAAGCCATGTCTCGATGTTGCAGACATTGTCTCAGGTAAAACTCCCAGTTGGGGCAGTGTGATTTGTACTGGGGTAAAATAAATAAATGAGAGTTTCTTGGTATGTGTTTGTGGTAAATTTACTATTACGTTTCAGTGGCATCTCTTGATGATTTTTCTCCTTCTGTACTGAGTTCCCAAGGAAATTGGAAGGACTGCCAGCAGGTCACTGGCCTTTAAACTGAAAAAAAAAAGAAAAGAAAACCCAAACCACTCCCTTCATCCAAGCCAGGGTTTGTATTGGAGCCTCCATCCATTCCAGCTGACACCACCTTCCTTAAGAGTTCGGCCAAATGTTTAAAATGAAACAAACTACCAGCAGGGTAAAAATTCTGCCTCACTAGGGCCATATTCTTATCACAGGCTTTGGTAGGAACACAGCAAGCGTCTCATGTATATAATATCCTGCTTTAAAATTAGAATGCAACCCAGCCTCAAGCTAATGGGATTTTGTATATAAGGTATTCTCAGCTGAACTTATGTGAAGTGCATTTCCTATTCTGAATAAAGAGATGGTTATCTTCAATGCTATCTACAATCAAAATACAGCTTTACAGATAGAAACTCAACACATGTACAAGAAGGGTCATGTTAATGACAGTATCATAAAACAGTCTTTGCTGTCACCTGCAACTATAGCATAAACTCAAATTGATCTGAGAATTTTAAATTAATATTTCCCTAATATTAACGCCCTACCCTTTCTACTCACAATTCCCTTCCATCTTTCGAATGTACATAGCCTTATATCTTGTAAGTTGTTTTCAAAGTGATTGTTGCCCATAAGGGTATTCGGTTTTGCACTGTATTAAAAAAAAACCCTAAAAAAAAAAAAAAAATCGTTTGCATTCAAATGTGCCTAGGCAAACAAACTGTAAACCAATTTGAAAAAAATGTATATGCTGCCATCTTGCAAATTAGTATGCTCTATACTCCTGTGTGCCTGTAATTATAAGTCTGTTTCTTCAGAAAGTGCCCATCAGAAAATGAAGGGATGGACTGCTGGTCATGAGACTCGCATTAACAAGCCACTTTATGTATCACCTTATTGTATAAACTATAAAGCTTTGTGTGCACTATATAGTCTGTCAATGGAAAGTCCTTTCTTTGGTATAGGCTCAGCTGCCATAATGTATTTGTTGAAGTATTCTGTTCTTTCACTGATGCATATAAAATTATTGATGTCTTTGTTTTGGTGAGGTTTATTTTACTTTGTTTTACACCTAAAAAAAGTTCTAAAAAAGTCTAAACAAAAATCTGATAGGCTACCTGATTGGTGCAGGATTTTTATCAATGTATTTGATGTTGAAAATAAAGAATTAACCAGAGCACTTTGTTTCATTAGTTATCTTTTGTATGGTTTTAAATATATGCTTCTCTGCTTACTGTTTTACAGTAGCCAGTGAAATGGTACATTATTTTTTACAGAAACAGAATGCATCTGTTTCTGTGCATCTAAGTGAAAACTGTT